AGTTAAAATAATTTCCAGACTTTGTAAAGATAAACAACAGCAGCCTGCTGGTAAATGAGAGTGAGTAGCATTAATGACTTCTGCAGGAAACGTTGAGGAATATGTGACTGTTTCTGCGCTGCTCACACAATCTTTATTGTGTGTGCTTTATTCATAAGCAAGACCATTTGTTCATTGAAGTCTCTCATGGTGCTATCCTAACATTTCTCTGCAAGATTAGCTATTTCCAATCCTTTTGCAAAGCATATCCTGCAGTGAAAGGATTTCAAATGAGTCAAGTTCAATCATTCTTTTGTAATCTTATCAGATCTTATCATTTGCAAGCATTAACATCTGAAGAATAGTGTACAACTACTTCATTTAAAATCAAGAGAAATCCTTCCAACCTTTTATAAAACTTATATTAAACATGAAAGGGTCCCTTGAAAGTCTAAGAATGATGATTTGGGATTTCAACTTGATAAGTTTCCTTGGAATTGTTTGTGCCACTGAAATTCTCATAAATTCATTTCAGCATGAAAACTTGACCCCGGAGGTACTCCATAGGCAGCACAGCACCCTGCTAAAATTATATTACATCAATTATAAACTTTCCAGATTGAGCAGGTGAGGTTATATAATATGGTTGTTTGTGTGCAGATCTTTCATTACCAGACTAGGTAACAACCAAGTTTAGAGAACAGCAAGGACTCCATAGTTCAATCCAGGACCACATAGACGATCTTCTATTGAGGTTATATATTATTTCTATTTTGGGTCAAAAGTTATATTTAGCCGAGATCTGTTGCCCTCCTTTTATTGCTTTTTAGGCCCTATCATGACACAATTTCATTTCGAGAACTGATATACGTCTAATAAAAGGAACCAGCCAATCAACTAAGTAAATTTTAATTTACCAATGATTCATTCAATTCAAAGAGATAAAATTTTAGCTATTCAGAATGTTAAATCTACCCTTAACCTTTCCTCAAATTTATTCTATGTCAGAACAATAAAACCTAGGTCCCTCCTACCATAAAAATATAGTAGATGTTTTGTTAGATTCATGATGTAAAGTTGTTGCCACAGCAACAAATTACCATCACTGTGAGCAACAGGTCCTTCAGAAGCAGTATCATTACAGATTAACTATAATGGGTAGGATTATAACAAAAAGCAGAAGGGATTAAGTGCAAGAGGAAAAATGTTAATAATAACTCAGATGTAACCAGTATATTTTGTGCAGGAGTTGACTAAATGTTTATGATATGCGGGGTTTTTTTGGTCTATAGCGATGCAGCAAACAAATAAATATAGTGTGTCTGTTGATCCAGTTTGTTATTTCCAAAGGACTGGTTTACAGCAGGTATAACTGTTGCAAATTTCAAAAAAGGTAAAACAAGGTTGGCCTTAAAGACATTTGTCAAACTCTTCTGGGTAATATGTGCTATTTCAGTTACCAGATTGACAGGAAAATGTCTCAAGTGATGTGGCAGTGGTAATAGTGAAAGAAAATAGAATTAAAAGGGTCTGCATTCAGCTGCTGTCACATTGCTAGGAGTGAGGATCAGAACATACGTGGGTGTGAGGGAAGTGTAACCTGCAAAAGTATAAGCCAAAATACTTAAAAATGCTTAACTGTGTAAACTGTTAAATTGACCTCTAGCATTATGGAAGGCTTCTTTATGCAAGCTGGGAAGTCCACTATTCCACAATAGTAGGACACCAATATGCGCAGATTACAAATTTAGTCTCCAATAACAAAATTTGAAGGTGGCTGTGGACAATATTCAGGTAATAGGATCACTATTCTAATGCAGCAGAAATCTATTTCATATGTCCCTGTGTGCTATGTTTTAGTCCATAATGCACTGTGCACACACATACACATATTTTTCAACCATGGAAATTTTTAAGATTGAAATGTTTAACTCCCATCGCCAATGCAATTGTAGCATACATTATGGAAATTAACAATCCCAGACCTCTGCAACTTGCACACTGAAATTTGAAAAAAGGAAGAGGAAAAAACAGAAAAGGGGAGGAATGAGACATATTAATAATATGGCATTATTTTATGATATATACTTTGTTATGGTGGAGCAAGGAGGAAGAGCAAAAGAGTTAAAACACAGGCTCTTTCTCCATTGCTGAGTTCTAGTGCTGGTAAGAAACTGGGGAGTTGTCATTCACTGATAATCCGTATCCTACTTTTGTTGCTTATGTTTCAAATCTCTATCCTGCAGTCATTTGCCCAAGCCTAAGAGCACTTATCAACCTCAGCTGGTGTCATAAGGGATAAGGGAGAAAGTAGTACAATTGATTGATATAACTTTGCATGCCATCTCAAATACAGAAGAAACTCTAGGCAGCTTGCACATTAGGTTTAAAAACAACATGAGAACAATAACAATAATTTTCCCACCTAATGCCATTATCTTGGATCTGCCATATCTGTGATTCTAAAGCCAAGCATAGTATCCATATTATTTAAATGCAGATAAAACAATAAAAACTTATAGCATTGTTCAACAATTATACACTCTCTTGGTTCAAAAATTGAAGGGGAGCCAGCTCATCTATTAAAAAGCCTTAGGTAAGTAGAATACCCCCACCTCCTATTGTCTGATGCTTCATCTCTTCCTGTATCTATCACTGGGGCAGAGACAGCAGCTACGTATTTCTTTTTAAATGTCACACTGGCATGCAAGAACCTGTGATGAACAAGCCATTTATAAACCTTCCCTTTTTCGCTTCATGTGGAAAGTCACAAGCTATTTAGCAATACAAGGACAAAACATTGGCTATATTCACATAATACGATAAACAATGCTTTGCCTAGCCATAGCATATTGAATAAACTTGAATTGGCTGAATTCACAAAAACATTAAATCCTGGATACAGCTCAGTGTGTCTGACTTGATAATTATTCTTCAGATGATAAAACTTTTGAAGTTATACTCCATTGTTCACTGTGGTATGCAGCTATGTCTTCTGGTACTTCAGCACAATCAATGAGCAAGGCAGCAAAGCCATGATCAAGCATGTCATTTTTTGGCTTCTGTGTATTCAGCCACTGTTTTACTGTGGCAGAAGTTTGTCTAGAAGGAGTACCTCACATTGCAGCAAGTGAGTTGAGAAAGCCTTGAAAGGTACAGTAAAGTAATTGAATCATCAGTCCAGGACCCAGGCATGTTAATCTCCTTTAATCCAAGCACTTTTAGTTAACTATGATGGGGATAAGCAATGTGTTTTGTAACTTTCTCAAAGAGAAAAGAACATGAACAAAAGCAGGAAGCAGTGTGGGATTTTAGCAATACTACCTCCTCCCAAACTATGGCACCAGGGAGTTAATCATCATAGCTCATAATGCAAGACAACTCATGTGTGTCATGTCAACATTGGAAAAAAATAAAGAAAGAAAACTCAGAATCACCACACCAATTTTGTGGGTAGACTGGAGGGTTGCTGAGGAAGAGGCTTGCCTAAGATTACATGGAATCTAATCCTCTGCGAGTTTGCTCAGAAAAAAAAACACCCTACATTGCATTGCCTCTGCAAGATATGCTTGGTTAAAAAATGCTTGGTTACTTTGCGGTTCAGTGTTTTATATCATCTTAACTGGGATATTATATGTTCAGTGTATTGCACAATCAATTGTTCATTCAATAAACTACGCAGTCCTTACTTACTAAACAACATAAATAAATCCTCTACTGATCACTTGTTCAGGAGACCATTGAAAAAAAGAGACTTGCAACCAGTCCTCAAAGTTGCAATTGTTGCAGCATCCTTGTTAGTAATGTGGTTGTGATTTGGGCACATGGCAACCAGCACACATTTAGGGTGGTCACAGCATCCTGCAGTGACATGATTGTTATTTGTAACCTTCAGGGCGAGCTTCTGACAAGCAAAGCCAATGGGGAAGCAGGCAGTAGATTGCAAGTGGCAGCCATGTGAACTCCCTCCAAAATAAATGACCATAACTAGAACTGATGTCATAAACTGGCATGGTCGTGTGATGTTTTATTGTATGGCCGCCTTACTTAGCAACTGAATTGCTGACCCCAAATGTGGTCAGAAAGAGAGGACTACTTGTATGGTAAGCTGAGCTGCAATGCACAGTGGGAACTCTTGAAGTAATCATGAATTAAAGAAGCAATGGGAAAACATGGATGCTTGGAAATGGCATCTTGTAAAATTCTGAATATCAGCAAGGTAATGTCATAAAAGTCTGAGCTAGAAGCACTCCTCATATTTAAAGATAACCGCAGACCTAGTTTTAACAGAACTCGGGTGTTAAGTAATTTCATTTTCAACAAGAGGAAAATGAAAGAAAAAGAAGACCCAGTATTTTATATAGCTTTCTGTTGCTCAGTCTATGCATTTTTACACAGAAGTAAGTTCCACTGCCCCAAAAGACTTATTTCCAGGTTGCCCTATATAGGATGTCACACATTTAAGGGAGTAAGCACCACTGAACACAGGGAAGTTTCTCCCTGAGTAACATACTTAAGATGCTCATGGGAACCCGTGTAAAGACATGGGTCGACAGCCATCTGAAAGTGACAAAACTCTTTGCCCTACGCTACTTGTCTCCCGAGAAACGGGCTTTTTTTAAGAAGCAAAGCAAATTCGTTCCCTTTGTGGCCATTTCCTTTTAAGCCCCTAAAAGCTGGCTCAGGATCATACCATTAAAACACCTGTTCACAGTCTCTCAAATGCGACAGTCCTTTGAAGCACTTTATGGGCAAATACAGGGGATGAGGAGGGGAATTCGACAGGCTCGGGCACCGTCGTTTATACGGCCGGTATATAAAATGTTAGGCAGCTTTTGTAAATTTCTCTATATGGGATGGGGGGGGGGGAATAACACAGCGGACTGAGAGGGTATAGTAAAAAAATGGGGTTCGTTCTTTCCACCGAACTATTTAAAAAAAGAGTCCGACGCTAAACGACGACGACTCATAGAAACGAAAGTCCCACAACTCCCTTCTTCGCCAGATAAGAAACGCGTCGTCAGGTGCGCACGTGGGCGGAAGGCCTCCCCGCGTCTTCGCTTCGCCTTTGATCGCCTGCGCTCCCTTCCTCGCAACAATTCCGAGATTCAGGTTGACGCCGGCCTCCCCTTCCGTCGGAGGACGTCTAAGGACAGAAAGAAAGAAAGGAAGAAAATAGGACGAAGAGGACCCAAACAACCGAGCTAAAGAAAGCAGAGGTGAGAGGTGATTCCCCCTGGCTTGGTCATGAACTCCGGAGGAGCCAAGCCGCCGGTTTTCCGTCACCAAAGGTCGAGGCGGGCTACTTTTAGACAAACTTTGGGTGGGGCGCTCGCCCACATCCTCTCCAAGCACTCCTCGGGCTGGGGCAACTGGCTCCCTGGAGCGCTCCTTCTCTTCCCTTCGCCCTGTGAGAAGAAGGCCCGACCCCGAGTTGTTTTCTTTTTGGAGGGCCGTCCGGGAAAAAGTCTGGAAAAACAAACCTGGCCCTTGCGTGAGACGCAAAGGGAGGCAGGGAGGGGGTGAAAGCCGGCCAGGTCCCCGGAGAGGAAGGAAGCGTCAGTCCCAGCATCAGGCAGGCTCCAAAGGGAGCAGACAAAAGAGGTCACCAGGAGGGAGAAGGTTCCTCACCCCTGGGTGAACTTGTGGCCTTCAGATGGACCTGGAAGCCTGGCTGAGCTGGTGGACACTTCTTAAGTTCAGGTGGATACACGATCCCTTCCTACATATTCCTATGGAGGAGGACTACCATGTGGTAGTCCTCGATTTACAACAATTTGTTTAGTGACTGTTCAAAGTGTAAAGACAGTGAAAGCACAGTGAGGAGGATTGCTTTAATATTGGTCCTTAGAACACATTTTTAGCTAAAATACCATTATTGAATGAGAGTAAAACCTAATTGACCTGGAATTTTCCTAATAGAGACATTGACTCTGTCTGTCTGTCTGTCTTCTCTATCTCTATCTGTATCCCACTTTATTTTTACAAATAACATAAGCTGGTAAACATATCCAACACTCCTTTCGCCTCCTATTTTCTTCATAACAATTCTGTGAGGTGAGGTGATCTGAGAGAGTGAGTGGCCCAAAGAAACCTAGCTAGCTTAATGCTGATTTCATACTTGTTTTTTTTTAATGGTCATTTATTTTTAACCAATTAGACTACCCGATTTACATAGGGATTATCATCCTGGAATGTACAAATTGAAATTAGGAAATTAAGACTTTCAAGGAGATATGGGAGACACTGTCTTCTGATCCCTGAATCTTGACCTGAAAGTTCAGCAACAACAATGCTGGTAAAATAATTCTATTCACAGCCTTTGGGGAAAGGACATTGTAATATTTCCATAAATGTTTTGTTTCATGACATTCTTCAGGATAGGAATAACACTATCTTTAATGAATCAGGATGCCACAAATTATGGGATGTGTTCAGTATTATTCTCTGTCCAGTGCTCACAGAGTATGGTCTTTTGTCCATGCAGATTGTACAATGCTGGGAGTTGTAGTTTAGCAACTTCTGCAGAGCCCTATCATTGTGGGTAGCAATATCTAGCCAAAGTGGCTGGTGTACAAAAGCTACCTGAGGTTGGATCTAACGCTCCTGAATAAGACACCATCAGCACATGCCAGGGTTATAGAACATCCTAGGAAGCAAAAACCAAAAATATCATTGAGAAAAACTGTGGCAAATTATTTTGCTAAAGTTGCCAAGGAAAGCTTTCAGGTAATCCTCAAAGTGCAACCATTCGTTTAGCAATTGTTTGAAGTCTGGAAAAAAAATACTTACAACCAGTCCTTACACGTAAAACTATCACAGCCACCCCCAGGGTTACATGATCATGATTTGGGCAATTGGCAACTGGATCACATGGTTGCAGTGTCTTGGGGGTCACATGATCGATCACCATTTGTGCCTTTCCAGTTGGCTTCTGTCAGGCAAAGTCAAGGGGGAAGTCGGCAGGGAAGGTTACAAATCACATCTGATGCTTAACCCCTTAGTAAAAATGTAATGAAATCGTGTATGGTCAGCTGTTGCTTCACTTAATCACCACATCACTTAATTTTCCAGTTCCAATTATGGTTGAGTTTGAGTTTGAGTTTTATTTCATTTGTATGCCGCCCTTTTCCCTGAAGGGACTCAGGGCGTCTCACATCTCAAGTAAGGGAAGGGGGATACAGACCGTTGACAACAACACAAAACAATACATAATTAAAAANAAGCGCAACAATCATACCATTCGAGATAGGGGCAATGATTCTTTAGCCCCAGGCCTGTCGGAACAGCCAGGTTTTAAGGGCTATGCGGAAGGCCTGGAGGGTGGTGAGGGTTCGAATCTCCATGGGGAGTTCGTTCCAGAGGGTCGGAGCAGCAACAGAGAAGGCTCTCCTCCGGGTAGTCGCCAGTTGACACTGGCCGGCGGATGGAATTCGGAGGAGGCCTAGTCTGTGCCATCTAATCGGTCTGGTGGAGGTAATTGCAGCAGGCGGTTGTAAGTCTATTGTAATTATAGTGGGCAGGAATTGAAGGTTTGGAGAGAACAGACTGAAATTCAATCTTAGAAACATGGAGTTACTGTTTGTCCATTGGGATGCTTGGGCAACTGCAGTGGTCTCTCCTGTTGAGGCAGAACTGCAACAGGACATTGCTTTGTCCCATTCCATCTGTTGCAGCCCTCTTGGGGTTCAAGGGCCTTCTTACAGTGGTTCAGTCCTTGACACCATTCACCTAAATTACTTTAATGTATTTTATATGGGGCTGCCTTTAAAGTAACCCATGTATTGCCTGGCGTTCATTGGCAGGAATGTATTCCACTGTGTGGTGGGCTATGCATCATCTTCCTATTGGCTTCTGTGTGCAATTTAAAGTGCTGGTATAAATCTATAAAGCCCTTTATAGTATAGTGCCATGCTATCTTCAGGATCAAATTTGCCCACTTCGACCCAACTGTCAGGATAAAGCCCTAGAGATGACACAGTGAGATCCACTCAAGTCCAGATCTTTATTTCCTTGTACCTAATGGGCAGAATCTTGTCAGACTAAAGTTATAACCTTCTAACCTATCTGATATACCCTGGGAGATTCTAGCTACCCTGAACTTTTTCCTCCTCCTACCATCTGATTCAGGACTGCACAGTCTCTTCTCTTGAGTCCCTCTTTAGAATGTATTGCTTCCACCATGAGAAGCTGCAATGCTACTGCCAACATTTTCTCCCACTTTTCCTTCGGCTTCTATCACACCAACTTGATCTTCTAGGAAAAGCACCTTGTGGCTCCCTGATTTTGGAAGTGCTTTTTTGCAACAGTGTCTGCCTTTTGGAATGGCCTCCCACTGAAACTTAAATTAGACCTTATTTTGGCCATTATGTGAGAGCAGCTGAATAAAAGGATGTTTTGAAGTATGTTTGTAACTTGATGTCTCTTTTTTTTAATTATCTTTTGGGGTTTCTGGTTTGTATGTTTCAGATTCTATGTAATTTTAACGGGATGGGTGTTTAAATAATTTTATGTTTATAAACCTTCTAAGAACTCTCTGGGATTATTGCAGAGGACAGATGTGATAAATAAAGAAGCTTGACTTGAAGAACACTTACAGTAAGGCAGCAGGCCATAGGTTTCCCATTCCTGTCCTACACTAAAATCACATCTGCTATTGTATGGATTAGGAGATGCTATAAGACTTGAATGGTTAGATTGTATACAGAAATTCAGCAAATAGGTGGATTTCTTACATACCTAGACTGACAAATCTTCATCAGTTGAGTCTCAGTTTGTTGATAGGCAACAGAAGTTTGCTGTTTCATCACTTCTGCAATCAAGTTTAGGCTAAAGGGAACAAATAAATTTGGTGACTTTCTTTTTCTCAGAAAAAATAGTTACTTGAGTTCAGTGGGGCTTAGGTCCCTTGCAGACTGATGGAGAAAACTAAACTGTATTTAAATTGAATATTAATGCTGTATGAATAATAATGTATTAGATAATAAAAACATAACACACGTGAGAACCATTTTATATAATAGAGCCAATTATTTGTTTGTCTAAGAAAATAAAATAAAAATGTGGCATCTGTAATTTTCAAAGTTATTTGTTACACTCTCTTCCACATCTCCAACAATGATTAAAATGATGCAAGTGACCCAGAGAAAGCCATGTTCTATGCGGGCAGTATAATAATGGCAACCCATGAAAAACTAACAGCACATTTCCCAAAGACGGATCAATAGCTTTGCAACACTTATAACATAGTCAAGCCCTTTCTTTAACCTACTGTCTTAAAAATGTGTTCACATTTCCCATCATCCTCAAACACGATGCTAAGAATATAAAATCCCTCAAACTATGGCTTACATTTAGTTCATGTTACATTATAGGATGAGTTAACTCTGCTTATAGAATGAGATAACTGAGCCAGTTTGGTCTAGCAGTTAAGGCACTAAGCTAGAAACCAGGAGATTGTGAGTTCTAATCCCACCTTTAGGCATAACATTCAACTAAGGGACTTTGAGCTAGTTATTCTCTTAGCCCAACTCATCTTTTCACCTTGAATTATATAGGACTATATGCTACACTATATGAAGACCTTTATTTCTTTTAGGAGTTCTTTTCCCAGATTATTATGTGTGAAATATAGTCTATTTTAGTCTGTTGGCCCACAAACAACATGCTTCTGCTTGGCTAGAGATGCTGCGGGCAGTCATCAATCAGCTTTTCCAATCTTGGAATACCAGAGTCAATGAAAAGTGAATGCGCCACAGGTCAGGAACAAACCATGTAGGGGGAGGTTGCTAACTTAATGCAGTGTAGGAGGTGCCACTTTTAAGCAGCTGTTTCTAATGTATATTTCATTACAGCACCAGATAATGCATCCTACTACCTTCTCAATTATCCCCAGATGAACATTTTCAAGACGTTTTGACATCTGCCTTAATGCCTGTTATTAATTTAGTAATTGCAGGAATCACAAATATTAGTGTAAAACATATGTGAGTGAAAGGGGGAGGGAGAGAAGTAGGTTTCAATTTTATTCCACTTTGTAGAAATAAACCTTAAATCATTCCCAGTAAATGTCAATAGTAGCTATCCTCAACCTGGTGTCTTTCAAATGTCTACGATTTCAATGTAAAACATTGCAGGTATAATCTATGTTAGCTGTCATCCAGTATATCTGGAGGGCACCAGATTGAGAAAAGTTCTTGTACAGAGTTGGCACATCACAAGATTGAAATCCCTTGCTTGTTTCTTAATAAGCTTTGATGTACAAAGGCACAGACTTAATTCCTGTGCTTCAGAACACCTTGATAAATATTTTACATCAAGTTTATTAAAGTTCTGACTTGGTAAAATATCTCAATTACATGCTCACCATATCTACTTATTTAGATCCATTTTATCTTGTACCCAGGTGCTTGAATTGACATCAGCTTTGTGAACCAAAGAAATCTCCCAAGTTCCATACTTTATTTGATTTTAATGTTTTTATATAAAAAAACCCAATTCTAATTTAAAAAGGGGGTGTATAGCATGCCATCAAACGGTGCCCAAAATCGGAAACTTTTTTTTCTAATTGCCAGGAATGCTTCTAGATGTAGCATACATGCCACAAGCAATCATAGGGAACGAAGTTGTTGGGGGCTGGAGATAAGTGCTCTATTGGGAAACATAGCCACCTGACCAGAAAAGAGGTGCTTGTACTTGGCTCTTTTTTAAATGGGCAGGGAAGTCTGCAGGGGGTAGGCATGTGGGTATGTGCCAGAACAGTCAAGATGGCAATGAGAAAAGCCCAGATTATTTCAAGACAGACTGAACTCCTCAACAAACATGCCTTAACAACATTAGGGCTTTGATCTACATAGGTATTTCTGAATAAGTACCACACTAAAATTATCTCTATTCGTTTTGAAATTCCCAGCAATATTCAAAGCACAGTACATTGCTCTTACATTGCTTTAAGCTTCAAATATCTTTCTCTGTATATATGATATATTTGTATGTCCGCACATTTGCAACTGTAATCAAAAATTTGCTAAATCTTGTTTAACTCCTTATGTTCCAGCTTCTGATCCCTACTCTTCTGCAGGGGAGTCACCCTCTCTTTTCTTCCCTTCCATACATGACCCCACAAAGATGCTGACTTCCACCAATCTTCCTTCCTTTCTTCCTTCCTTCCTTCACACTGGACAGAGGTAGCCCAGTCTTGGACAACAGGCACTGTATCTATGCAGCCTCTCATTTTTACTCTATAAGCCACTACTAAGAAATAATAGTTGTCTAAATAGCAACTAATTCCTTTGAGGAAAAGGAAGCATAGCCACTAGGCTTACTTATTGACCTTCAGAAACTATATTCAAGAAATTAAGACAGAAGTAGAGGAAGAATAATAAACTTCTTTGAAATTTATTATCATTTCTTTGACTGTGTAGTAACATACCATACCATAATAAATGAAAAAATGTGAGATTTGATGTTAGGGAAAAAGAATTAAATTTGCAATCAAATGAAGCTCAAGCAGGTCATGTGAATGTATTTGCTAAATCTTTTCTGATTTGCTTAAACATACTTGGGAAAACAGCTGCTATATTGTTAACTCTTATTGCTCAAAATATTTAACCAAGAAACAGTTTAACGCCAAGGAGCCTATTTCTGGATTACATAGAGGGTGGCATAACACATATGTTGTTTGGGAAGGAAATGCTAATTATTTCAATGAGACTTACGGACAGGAAAGAAAAATGGTTCAAATTAAGGTCAAAAATCTTAGTCCTATTGACAAAATAAACAACAAATGTCCTATGATGGAACAGGATTGTTCACTGGATATGTTTATGTAACCTAATTAGAGAAACTTCATTCCTGAGATATGTTTTGTTTGAACGATGGAACAATACAGATGCCCGACTGTTTGCTTTCACGAAACCCATCTTATATGGAGATAGCCAAGGGTCAAAGTGCGTTGTGAGTAGCTGAATTATGACACTGATTTTGATTGTAAGGAATCTTACCTTTTAAACCAGCACAGGAGAGGAACAATTTAGCTGTTTATAGATCAGTTTGATCACATTGCAATATAAAAAAAACATTTGATGTTTCTAAGCAGTAGAAATATACATGCAGAGCAAGTTAAGACTGTAGGTTATTGATGAGCATCTAGAAGAGGATAAAGGGGGAAGGACTCCTAGAATTTTGACTCCTAATGGGGAGGGAAAAAAACTGTCCCCTCAACCTTTAAAAGATTGGCCAAAGACCAGCTTAGTTCTTTCCACTCTAGAACCATATCAGCATTATCTCAGCGGAACAATATGATTCACCATTCTGTTGCTTTCAGTTGGTAAATCTTCATTATTAATGCAATACAGGTGTAGCTTGGAGTTTACTTAATCACCTGTTCATTGATTTCCTTTTATTTCTGGTAAGCTTCATTTTATTATGAAAGAGAAGGGCTTGTATGTTCATTGTAGACCTGGAGGTAGTACTTACCTATTTATCAATAGTACATATTTGTGGACAAGCCAAGAATTTTAGATTGAGTTTGGCTTATCTGTGGATTGGCTTATCTGCAAGTATATATGGTAACATTTTTTAAAAGTATCCCATATATATTTGTAGATAAGGTCATTTGAAGGAAGCCAAACCTTGAATTTTAAAATAAAATACCATGAATAGAAAAACAAATGAAATCTGAAGGAGGTGTCCAGGCTGAGCCTGAAAGGGGGGGGGGAGGTATCAAGCTCATTATCAGTCTTGAGTCCCTTTGCACCCACAAGAGATCTAACTCCAGCCCACCTTGAATTCCATTGACTGATCCACCACCAATTTGCTTTGACCAGTAGTAGTTCAGATTCTTGTACAGAGTGCTAGCATGCAATAGGCCTGTATTTATTTGAACTGACTCCAGATGTCCTGCATTTGACAAAATCCTTCAGAATACATTGAAAAAACATTTTGAGGGTTAGCTTACTGTATCTATTGATTATTGCACTTTGGTTACAAATTTAAGGATTGGCTTATCTGCAGATGGCTTTACCCACAAGTATACTGTATATGGTAGTTTTCTGTAGATCATGTATTCCCAATGTGTTAACAGGAATTTTCAATCATTCCTAAGGATAATGCCACTGGTCATCCACTGAAAGACCTCCAGATGCAGAATGATTTATATGCTATTTATTTTGACTAGCAGAAGCAAGTCAAAATATAAACTATCATCAGTAATCTGGGACTCCAAAAATGGAACTTGAAGATGTCTGCACAGGAAAAGATGTGTTTTGATTTTAGGATAGATCTGTCTTTCAAAGTAAAGAAGCAAAAATACGAATTACATCAACCCCTTGCTCTCCTCTCCTTTTTCTTCCAGTACTTCCCCCCCTCTCCAAGTACCTACACCTATACAATAAGAATGTGTTATTGGAATACATTTATTCATGATTAACAAACTTAATTTTATCAAACTAATTTCCTGACTTTGCATGCAGATTGGGTTCATACAACACGATAGTTGAAAATGTGGTTGGCTAGTTTGTGGTTTAGTAGGTCAGATAAATACAACCTTTGTTATTGTAGCATATACTATTTTTTTAATCACGTTCTAAAGCTCTCTACATGCAACAACAGAGCAGAGGTGGGAATTTACTGCTTTACCTTACATGAACTTGAGGAACAGGAGATCCATTCATCACAAAGTTTGGTCTGCCTGGAAGAAAGAGATAACAGTATTTTTTTTCCAAGCTCCTGGTTATGAAAAGGTAGGATGTGGAAGGGTTGGGGGTAAGGCACTTTCACCATAGTTATATAATTGGGGCTAGTAGATCTGAATTGCAAAAATTCAGAAGTCCAATAAATGGCAACAAAGAAGTGCAGAAAACTATATACAATATATGCTGAACTACAGATTGTCTGGATTTTTGCAGTCCAGATCCTAACATAATTGCATAGATCCAATCAATTCCTTCCTAGCAGTGCAATGATGTACACATCGACTCCACAATCAGTCACATGGACTGAAAGGGCTTACTCTTGAGTAAATGCAATGAAGGGTGTATAAGGCAAAGCACCAGTTTCCTCTTGCATGTAAAAATGGTTTATTTGTTACCAAGAGTGGGAGATAGATGTGCTTGTATCTGGAGGAAGGGTGTAAGACTAGTCTGAAAGAAAATGTCCTAACTCAGCCACCATCTAAAGGAAAACTGGAGAATAACATCAAGTTACTAATCTGGGATGAATTTAAACATTATACATGTTTAAATTTATAATCTTCAAATAGTTCAGTGGCTAAAATGCTGAGGTTGTTGATCAGAAAGGTTGGCAGTTCAGCAGTTCGAAAACCTAGCACTGCATAACGGAGTGAGCTCCCGTTACTTGTCCCAGCTTCTGCCAACCTAACAGTTTGAAAGCATGTAAAAATGCAAGTAGAAAAATAGGAACCACCTTTGATGGGAAAGTAACAGTATTCTGTGCACATTCAGTGTTTAGTCATGCCAGCCACATGATCACGGAGATGTCTTCGGACAGTGCTGGCTCTTTGGCTTTGAAACAGAGATGAGCACTACCCCCTAGAGTTGGGAACAACTAGCACATATGTGCGAGGGGAACCTTTACCTTTACCTTAAATTATAAATGAGCTACAGGCAATGTTCATACTAAACCATTAACTATAAGTAATGAACTACATAGATGATGGGGGAATTAAATAAGCCACAAATCTTAGTGTATTGCATGAATCAAACCCATCACATTAAACTATAAAATAGTTCCTTTCAGTTTAATATGTACTGTGCAATCTGTTAAACACACCTTGTGCAGGAACACAATTCCCAGGGATTCGTCACAGATTGCACCAATGTGTTATATATTCCTTGCTGTTTTCATTGCATCATGTAAAATGGAGCATTCATTTTCACAACAGACCACTTCTCAAAGTCCTGATGCAAGCACATATGCTTGTCTCCTTATCAGTTGCTTTAGGACCAGAATGCCTCCCTTAATCCCAGTTTCATGCTGGTTGCAAGCTTGGGCAGATGCAGCATCCTTTTGGTGCTTAACAGGTGTGGTGGTGGAGGAATGTTCCAACCCAAATGAAACAGAAATCGGTAGCAGAGATATCTTTTTTTCTTGATATAAGGAGTAAAATAAAACTCTTTGCTTTGTCCTAGCAACGTACATAATAACTGATGGCAGGGTGGGATATAGGGGTCTCCTGCCCAGTAGTAAGATATTCATTTTCTTGAAAAATATTCATTTAATACTGACAACTCCAGATAATGGAGAGTCATTTCTAGTATTTGATGAAGGATCAATTATATTTATGTTTGGATATTCTCTCATCTACATTTTCTGTGATTTATCTGGCTCAGTTCAACAATGTAATTCATATCTGTTGATGCTAGAATTAAAGGAAAGGGAAGGTGTCCTACTTATTAAGTTAGAACAATATAGGTACTGTTGGCCCTGGATCAGGTCAAAGCTCATCATAGTCCTGCATTTTGTTTCTCACAGTGGCCAACTAGATGTGACCGGGGAGCTCCCAAGCAAGGGTTGATCCTTTTGGAATGGGGAATTAGAATTACTAAACCTAGAAGAAGAATCCATCCCAAGGAGCCACCTAATCCATCTTCCTCATACATAAGTGACTCAGTTTAGGCACTTTGGGAAAATTGCCTCCTAAGTCTCTCACTTCTATCTACTGGTATCTCAAATACCCTAAGCCTAGTCTTTCTATTGGAACTTCAGAATTAATATAATTTTTAGCATGCCTAACATGTAATATGGATGATCTCATCACATTATAAAGTTCAAATCCCACCTTGTTGCATCCAAATATGTTGGACTGTCCCTTCCAAATTTCCAACCAATAGATCCACTGGGTACAATTAATGGGAACTGTAGTCCAATGTATTTGGACAAAGGTTGTTTTAAAGATAACTTAAACCACCATAACTCGTATGAAGTTAAATTTTATAAGCATGCTAAATATTAATATTGAGGGGTCCTTGGTACTCTCTGAGCTTGGTTATTACATCCAACAGTCAAGCTCACAGACCACCAAGGAGCCTTCATTTCAGTCCTGATTTACAAATAGTCTATTCTAGTATTAATATTCTCATTCTTCTGAGATTGACTGAAATATTAGACTTTAAAAAAAACTTTTTCTTGTTAACCTGATTTGGGCCCATAATTAAGCCAGAACTAGCATTTAAAAAAATAAAACAAAACAAAACAACTTAATCTATGTTGGGCAGGGATTCTCTCCCAACATATCCTTGGTTATTTTTATATTAGAAATTTGGGCTTGTACAAATTACTTTCTCCAAAATGAGATGTGATACTAAATTCTATTTTGGAAATTAAGGCCAGCCCTAAGGGTTCCATCTTGCCCAGGTCATGGTGAAGACTTCCAAGATCCTATTCTTAAATAGAATTGTACCAGCTTTTGGACAGTTTTCTATTTTTCTCCAGTTAGCTTTCCAGACAGGGATAGAAGACAAGGGCACACTCTTTTTTTTGAGAGAGAGAAAATGTGCTCTTGAATTATTCATTTACTTGTCTGTTTCTGCCCCAAACTGCTTGGTTACTAGCCTCCAGAGCATTGGTGGTGTAGCAATACCAGAAAAAAAAAAGGTCTGGTCAGTTTTTGAGTCCAGGACAGCAGAAGAAAGTTGTCTCCCAATTCACATGACTCCCCTTAACTTCAAAGACCATTGAGGTTAGGCAGTTTTCTTGGAGCAGCCTTGGCCCTCACTCCGACACCTCTCTAACCCCATTCCTACCTAGCCCAAGTCCTCCTGCTCCTATGCAGAGAAACCCAATGCCTATTGTTAATTGCAGTTCAGGCTTCCTTCCTGATACACCACTGACTCCTTCCTCTTCACCTGGTTCTGATCTGTTCCCTTCCTGGTTGACCCATCGATCCTCCCAGTAAGTTCTCCTGGGAGACTGAGATTACCCGTTCTTCACCTGATCCAGGGAATTCACTGCAGTATGAAGTCACTTAGCAGATGGAGGTCTGCTTAGGATGGGGAGCCTGTTTAGCAAGATGTAGGGCCCTTGAGGGTCATTGCCATAGTCAGCTAAAGAACTCACGGACCTGCCTGTTCTCATATGAAAGCACAAGTAAGGTGGGCTTCTTCCCTACATACAAAATCAGCACAATTATACTTTCAAAATTTGATTTTGCATTTATGGATGGCTAATACTAAGGGGCTGTTACCCGGAGATATTTGTATAAGCAAAAAAGACATTCTGTAACCTAAGAATAGTGTGTGTGTGTGTGTGTGTGTGTGTGTGTGTGTGTGT